TTGAAGTGAAAGATCTGAATCTAATTCAGTATACCATAGTGCCTCATGCAGGGTCTTTTCCTCCTCTCCCTTCAACCCCCCTCTCCCCCCATTCTGTAGTTAGTTGAATTAAAAAAAACTGGATTAAAAATGTTTTTTCACTGGTGCATGGTGCTATGAGAGAAGCAGATGAAAAGGACTAGTAAAGTACTTGGTTTTATTAGTCACATTTTTCAGATGAATAAATTATGTGACTTGCCTGGGAGGGCCTTTGGTCTGGAAGTTTAAACAGTTGATACTGAACTAAAAGGTGTGGAGTGTTATGGTTGACACTTTCAGCTAATCTCTGCCACCCTTACAAATACTGAATAGCACTTTGCTTTTCACATCAGAAGATACCAGATCTGGCTGAGTAAGTATAGCATAATCTTAGAAATTTGTTGTGATTTTTTTTTTTAACATTCCTCTGAGGATGTGGCTAACAGCTACATAGGGTATCTGCCCACCTTTTCAGCTGTGTTCATAGTGATTCACTCTAAACTTGGCCAGACCCACTCTCCTTTAACTGTATATATTCATAATGTAATTATAAAACACAAACTGTTTATTTAGATAGAAGGAAAAAATAAAGAGATGCTGAAGACAAAAAAAACTAATTCTGATAACTTCCAAAAGTAAAAAAACAAAAACAAAATTATAATAATAAAAGCTTTAACTTACAAAAGCAGATAGCAACATAATTAATAGTTAAGGATTATATCAACGTTATACTGAATATGTAAGAATTAAACACCTTATCAAATACCATTACAATTAATGCTAAGTGCTAGAATTCTGTAAAAAATTTAACCTAGGTTTATATTTGTTACTAATGGCTGTGGAAAACATTCGTCAGGCCAGGGCCTCAAACCTGGGGTCTTAGTCTGGCTATCAAGGGCGCTCATCCCAGCCTGCCACCCTACAGTTGATCACCCATCCTGATTCAGACTGGCTTGAAGCCTCCAGCAGGGCCTAACCCTCCACCCACTTCCTGTCATCGGTGTGTCAGCTGACCCTCCAATTCCCTCATATAAACCCCTGCTCAGGACCAGAAAATGTCTGGACAACAGGGCTCAAACTGACCCAAAACTACTTTGCCATTCCCATTAGCTTGCTGCCCAACTCTACACTCTGCTTGATCTCCTGGCTTCTTGAATTGGTTCACTCCTAGACCCTGCTCTAGAATTGAACTCCTGGCTTCCTGACCTGGTTTGCCCTCAGATTCTGCTCACTCATCCTGACCTTGGTTGGCACCTCAATCCCCTAGTAGCTCCAGACCTGGACACCCATGTCCTGGCATGACAGTTTTCCAGGACCACCTCCATTTGGTGAAGAGGGTCTGGGATGGAGCCCAATCCCCTACCAGGGCCCTTGGAGCCCCCCTGAAATTGATAAAATAGGGCTACCTCATTCCAGTGGGTGTCTGCTGTGTTGCAGCAGAAAAGGGACACATAGGTGGTGGGAAAATTGTCTGAGTCCCAACATTAGTAACTCCCAAAACCCATGCAGATTGACCTGGGGGTGCGAACACCTTACCCAAGATGTGTGGGAGAAATGCTACCAGCATGACCTCTCTCTCTTGTGGGGACACAGGACACAGATTTGTCAGGTGCCCCAAGACAGGACTAGGGAAACAAGCTACCCAGGCCCAGCACCACAAACTCTTCTCACTCATTTAATAATGGAAATCTACAGTAAGCCTGATCCTTGGAACCCTCAGTTAAGTTATATGATCCACCTCCAGGTCCCAGGTCAAATCCACCTACTTCTAGTTCTAACTGCTTTATTGGACTCTGGGAAAGCAAGCAACTTTATTGACAAGACTGTGACCCAGGCCTTAAGAATCCTTTTATAGTGGCAGTCTAAGCAAGAGATCACTGAAACTATAGACCCCTCTTGCGTCCAGCCCATAGAATAGGAAACTGCCACCCTGCAGCTGAACATCCATGGACACTATGAGATGCTATGCATTGAAGCATTCTGTTTCCTGTATTACTAATTAGTTTTGGGATTCCCCTGGGTCATCTGCCACAACCCCTTAGTTAATTAGAAATTTCTGGGAAGTTTACTTTGGTTCCAGCTACTGCCAGCAACATTGCTGGAACCCCGGGATGGTTACCAGCCGTATGATTTAAGCAAAGGTTCTGACCACCGTCACCCCCTATGGGATTCAGCATCCTGAGGTCAAACCCAGCATACCCCAAAAATACCAAAATTTCACTGACTTATTCAATAAAGAAAACATGGATGTCCTTGTCCCATCAATCTGCAGCCAAGGGGAAAAGATTTCAGTGGAGCATATCTATGCCATATCAGAGTCAGAACTTGCTGTCCTACAAGAAATACCTGCAGAAGAACCTGGACCACAGGTTCATGAGAAAGTCCACCTGACCCACTGGAACCCCTGTCCTGTTGGTCAAGAAGAAGGATAGGAGCCTCAGCCTTTGTGTGGATTGTCAGGCCCTGAAGCAGGTCTCCATCTACAATCAGTACCCTTTAATGGAAAATCATCTACATATTCACCGAGCTCGACCTCTGGAGAGCATATCACTAGGTGAGAGTCAGGGCTGGTGATGAATGCCACTTGGAGTATTTAGTTATGCCCTTTGGTTTCACCAACATCCCAGTCACATTTCAGCACATCATTAACATGTTGTGAGACCTCTTGGACAAATTCATTATCGCTTACCTGGATGACGTTCTAATCTTCTCGGAAGACTCTGACCAGCAAGTGTCACATATCCAGGTAGTGCTAGAGAGGCTGTGCCAACATGGCCTTTTTAGAAAGATGGAGAAACATGTCTTTGACCAAATCTCCTGAGTGCCTTTGATAAAACCTGAGTTTCTTGACTTATTTTGTCCCCAGAATGCTTAAAAATGCCCCCCCTCCGCCCCCCCAAAAAATCTAGGCCATCTGAAAGTAGAAGGTACCCCAGGATGTCAAAGAATTCCAAAAACAGGCTTCTTTACTATTCATTCCATCCAGGAAGAGCACAGACCAACTGCAGAAGCTTCGTCAACCTGATGAAGGGTATTTATACACAAAGACTTGCAAAGAAGAATTTTTCCAACTATTTGAGTTGATCTAATAAAAGATATCATGTTTACCCAAAGGACCATATCTCCCTATGTCCTTAGACCAACATGGCTGCAACCTATAGCCCTGCACTTTTACCAGTGGTTCATCACCAGTGTTGCCCAGGGGGTGTCTCTTCTCACTGCTGTGTAAAAACATCCAATTGTTCTGGTCTGTGGAAGCCCAACAAACCGTCAAATACCCAAAGCAGGTCTTTACTTCTGCCCTTGTTTTAACCTTTCCAGATCCAGCCTTGCCATGTGTGCTGGAAACAAATGTTTTTAGCATGACAGTAGGTGCAGTGCTCTTAGTGTCAGGGCCTGGAAGAGGCCCTGCACCTCTGTGCTGCCTCCTCCTGCAAGCTCATCCCACTAAAACAAAATCATGAGATTTTGGACTGCAAACTCTTGGCCATCTGAGCAGCTTTTGTGGAGCGGGGCATGCCACAAGGTAAGTTTTTACTGACCATAAGATCTAGAAATACTTCCAAAAGGCTTAGTCTCCCAGCTAGAGGCAACTTTGGCTACTCTGATTCCAATATGACTTTCAGATACATTGCCAGCCCAGGCCTAGAAATGAAAAGGCAAACACTGCTCCTGTAAAGGTGAGTATGACACATATTCAAGAGTCACATGACTCTAGCCCTATTCTATGGCTTCATAACTTCATCAGCACCATATTAACAATAGACCTGCTCTCCCTGCTTTGTGCCAACACCCAGGGGAAAATACTCCCAGAAGAGCAGACCATCTTCATGCAGTAACTACACTGGGTCCAGGGTGGCATCATATTTACCCAAGGTAGTAGGATCTACATGTTCCTGGATCTGGGTAGATTAACCATCCTTCACCTAAGCCACAACTCCCTGCTAGCAGACCACCCTGTAACCAAGACCAACTGCCTCACATCCCACTATTTTTGCTGGTTATGACTACGCAAGACAGTGCAGGCCTTTGTCCGCTCTTGCAATGTTTGAGTCCACACCAAGAGACCCCTTCAGAAGCCTTGCAGACTCCTTGAACCCCTCCCCATCCTGCCTTAGCTGTGATCTACAGTCTCACAGGACTTTATTGTCGAGCCTCCAGTTTCAAGTGGTTGTTATGCAATCCTGACCATAATGGACCAGCTTACACAAATGGCCCACTTCATCCCATGCACAGGCCTTTTCTCAGGAAAAGATATAGCCTGGCTGTGGTTGGACCACATGGGGAGAAAACTTTGTCTTGGATTTAAGTAAATATGGTAGTAGTCTAGGCCCAACCTTTATTTTACCAGTCTTGCCAACTGAATAACAAAGATCCTTCAGACTTCGCAAGTATTGAAGTTTGCTGAAATCTTGAATGATGGCTATAGTTGAAGATAATTTTTAGGATTAAAAGTCATTTTCTTTACTCTCTATCATTGAAAGCTACATGCTCCACAAAAACAAAAGAATGATTTATTTCTGTGATTTCCACTGCTCTTATATCTTTAACCGTGTCTTTTGTGACCTGACAGGGATAAAAAAAGAGCAAGAACAAAATATAATGTGCATTTAAAAATTAGCTGTGTGCACTCCGGTACTAGAAATGCTACAAAGCACCTCAGTCATCATTGTGCTGCATGACACAAGTTATGGATCTATGACCTAATTGCTTGTTTGTGCTTTAATACTTTGGATTTCTTTTAATTTTAACCTCATTCTGATTTTTCTGGAGTATAGTACTTATTTTGCTGTGGTAGTTACAAGATTCCTGTAACTTATTTCTTTAAATTCCAGTTGTGTATTCTCAATCTGAACTTAATACAAATTTAGTCTTTAGGTTGGTAATATGATCATAAAGCTCTACCATTTAAAATATTGTAAGAAATGTTAGGTTTTTTATAGCCAATTGTTTATAATTGTTTTATATTTCTTATTTATCAGAACCAACGTACATCACAATAGGCCCACCCACATGTGAGATGTTGGTGAACTGCACATTGACTGAAAAAGATTGCATCTACAGTTTCAAACTGGATCCAAATGGTTGCCGCATTTGTCAGTGCAAAACTAGTGAGTATAAAAAAATCTTTGTGGGTTAGAAGGTGTATCAAAGTATTCATCAAAATGTTTAAATGGTTTCTGCTCCTCATGGTTGAATAAACCTGTGAAAATCTGAAATGGAAATACCAGTATATGGGTGCATCAAGTTGTTCAGTTGTAAGGCTGACTATTTGCTTCAGACATTGACTTTGTTTATTAGGAGAAGGATAACTGAAGTCTTTGGCAGGTAATATTGATAAATACATAGATTTTAAAAGCTGTGGGTAAAAGATATGGGAGAAATGGCCCCTTCAGAGAATCCTTTTACACTACAAATTTCATTTTTAAAATTATGTACATTAATAGAATAGCTTTTATATACATCAACTATTTTTAATTCCAGGTCTGGAAGTTTTAAATGATTATTTATTGCTCTTGGGGGAGAAATCAATATAAATGAAGTATAACTAGTTCTAAGATTTGCATGAATTTTATAGTTGCTATTTACATCAGATTTTTATTTGACGTAGTTTTCATTTGACGTGATTTTTTTCCAATGAAGAAATAGTGTTGATATATCAGTTATGGTAGCATTCTCTTAAGAAAACAGAGAAACTTGCTTTCTCTGTATACATTTACTTGTAATCAGTGAAATGAAATGAAAGATAATGATCATTTGTAAGAGATGCTGCCCCAGTTGCAGGGCAGATTGCAGTATAACTTGTCACTCTACCTTAGAAGTTATGACAAGGGAAGGTCTTAAGCTGTTTGAGTGCAAGTGAACAGACATTCACTTTTGATTCCAGAAATCCAGCCACATGCTGACAGTGGCCCAGGCCAGAAGCAGGGGAGGTGGAAGGAGGTGGTACTAGAGCAATGGTCTCAATCCACCAGTAGATCTCGGAGCCTCTTGGAGATGATCTGGGGCTGGGGTGGGGGGCTGAGTGCCTGCATGCATGCACGCTTGTACCCCAGCTCATCAGGTCAGTCCGCGGGGGAGGGAAGGTGCAGGGGCTAGACTGAGGCCCCCCGTGGTGAGGGAAAGCGCCCCTGTGGACAGGAAGCCCCCGCGGCTCAGGGACAGAGGCCCCCACAGACAGGGACAGAGGCGAAACCAGGGGTAAGTTGAGTGGGGCCCCGACCAGGAGAGACTTACCTGCTGGGAAGGCATGCCCCCAAATAATTTTTTCTCCTTCTGCTTCGATCTGCCCCCCACTTCCCTTCCCACAGACTTACCTGCTGCAAGGGAGGGAAGGGGAGTTTGCAGCAGTGCACTGTAGATCTTGAGTTGTTTTTAAATGCCAAAGGTGATCTCCTACTTAACGTTGGAAACCACTGCGCTAGAGCATGTCTCCCTGCTCTGCTAGAGCAGACAGCTTAGGCCAAGGATAGCCTGCCCACCTTCTGATGGGGGAGCGGAGTGCAGGGGAGATTTGAACTAGTTTCTGATCACTTGATACCAGTTTGCGTAATTTCTGTCCCTAGCCGGTAAGTTCATTGGAGTTCTACAGGTGAAGCCTGGCCAGGAGAAGCTCTGAATTAAGTTATTGCTCTGAGCCCCTTTTCTTGCTTCATCTCACCTGACTTTATTTACATTCTAGCTTTGAAATTTCAGGAATGCGAATGATCTGTGGTTCTCTGTCCCTTACCATTCCAGGTGGAATTTCCACCATAAAGGCATAGGCGTTATTGTTGTCTAAGCATAGCCGAAAGTATCTAGAGACTGATCCTAAGCCAAGGACTTAGTTTTAGTTGTTTGCACAATTTGTTTGTTTTCTTTGAATGTTAAGGGTGATCAAAGTCCAGCAGGGAATAATGTGGAAAGTAAACAATAACAGTGGTAGCCCTGAAGATACTTATTTTAAAAATCAACTGCACTTGTAAGAAGGGAAAGCACCCACTGATTTCAACAGGAGCTGGATTGAACTCTTTATCACTTTTCTATCTTAAGACATAGGGGCACAAGATTCCCTTAACTTCTTCCTGCAAAAAGCAGTATCAATCTGTTAAGTCAGCATTGCATTGGATAGGTCTTATTTCAACAAGTTTATAAATTAAAAGTATGTTTTAAACTATTTTGTATCACTGTTTATTTATAGCCCAAAACTCTGAATAATCTCCAATAGATATCATAGAGAGGAAAAATATATATTTCCACTACTTACATTGTATAAAAAAAATTGGATGCTAATCTTTGTATCTGCAGACATGGTTCCTTGGGTAAATATGATATCTTTTATTAGACCAACTAAATAGCTGGGAAAATTGTTCTTTGCAATAGAGGTGCACCAATACATCGGCCCAATATCGGATTGGCACTGATATAGAGAAAATTGATTGCATCGGAAATTGGCCTAATGTGGCCAATAATTTGGCCTAATGTGGCCAATAATTTGTCCAATAAATGCCCATGCATGTGTGCAGTGAGGAGCCACAGCCCAGCAGCTTGGAGAGCTGTGTGCAGCTGGTAAGTCTGTTGTGGTGAAAGGGAAGGGGGGAGGGAAGAGGTGTGGGGGAGCAGATCAACGCCCCCCCATAGTGAGGGAGGGAGTGGGGCAGGGGCTGAGGCAGGCACCTGGGGGGGTGCCTCCAGATCTGCGTGGGGGGGGCAGGAGGGGCTGCAGCTGTGGGCTGGGGCCAGGGCTGCACTGGGCTTTTCCCAGTGCATGGGGGGGGTAGTTCCCCTCCCAGCACTGCCACTGCCTGCCCTGAGCACAGCCCAGCCCAGCCCAACCCCTGCCAGGAAGAGCTCAGCACAGCCCTGGCCCACAGCTGCAGCCTACCCTGTCCCTGCACAGATCTAGGGGCACACACCCCCATGCCCTTCCATAGTGTGCGCAGCAGCAGGAGCCACCCCATGCCCCCTGGATGAGCTATGACTCCATCCCATGCCTTGCCCCGCCGCAGCTGCGCAGTGCCTGCCTCAGCCCCACTCCCTTCCTCACCGCAGGGGCCTTGATCTGCACCCCCTCACACCCCTTTCCTCCCCCCTCCCCTTTTACCACAACAGACTTACAGCTGCACACAGCTGTATTGGAAATCGGATCTGTATCAGCCGATATGCCTCCTTAAAAATTGGCTATTGCTATTGGCCCTCGAAATCTCTATTGGTGCACCCCTACTTTGCAAGCTTTCAAGTACAAACACCCTTCTTCAGGCATAGGGAGAGTCTGCTGTTGTTTTGTGTTCTCCTGGATGGAACAGAAGCCAATATGCAAAATGCAGGTCTGTGAAAATGCGACTGCCTGGCAGTGAGGATCAGAGGCCATGGGAGACAATAGATGTGAGGTAGGTAGGAGAGGTGGGGAAGGGGGAATATTGGGCTGATAATAGATTGTAGCTGGCAAAATGCAGATGGGTTGCCTGGGGTTATCGGATGACAGGCAAGTTACAATCTGCCATAAATCCAATGTCTATTCAGAGACGACCTGTGCAGGGTGTCAGGCCTGGGGCAAATCAGCCTGTGCGGAGCCTCACCCTTGGACATGAGGAAGCTGGCAGCGGATTTGGTGGCAAGGGGGGGGCAGGGTGCCGAGTGGCTGGATGTGGTGGATTTGGGGGAGGAGGGGAGTACCAAGCAGCCAGCTGGCCATGAAGCCAGCAGCAGTGTAGAGTTGCCATGGCCACTCTGTGGGGCTCTGCAGGGCCTCCAAAGCATGAAGCCCAGGGCGGTCGCCCCAATTTGCACCCCCTCCCCACCCCCGGGAAGGCCCTGTCTATTTTTAGTCTGTGATTTTTTTGTATCCGGTTTATGAAGTGAAGTTCATAGGCTTGTCTACAAAAGGTGTTTTGTAAATTCCCTTTGAGGATTAGAATTGAGAGATTGGAAAGAGTTGTTGTCTTGTGAGAAGTGGCCACTCAAAGGGAATTGGCTCTTTTTGTCTTGAATAGATTTTCAGTGTGCGTTCATTCTTGTGCATGGTTGTTGTTTGGTTTCTCCTACATATTTTCCATCAGGGCATTTGGTGCACTGGATTAGATGTATAACATTTCTGGAGGTGCATATGTAAGATCAAGGAGTGGTGATGTGTCTGTTGGGTGTAGTTATTGTGTAGGCGAGCCTATGAACTTCACTTCATAAATCTAATGGATACAAAAAATCATGAACTAAATATAGACATTGGATTTATGGCACATTATAACCTGCCTAACATCTGATAACCCTAGGTAAACTCTCTGTAGTTTACCAGCTACATTCTGTTACCAAGTCACCATTCCTCCCTCCCCCACCTACCTGTGTCACACTTAAGCTAAGTACAGATAGTCAAAAAGCCTGATGCTGAATTGATTCAGTTTCTGCAGGTTAGTCTAAGATACGCGGATTAAATTGAAACAGAAGTGAACAGACGTTGGCTTCTCTTCCATCCAGGAGAACGCAAAACTCCAGCAAACTCTCCCTATGCCTGAAAAAGGGTGTTTGTGCTTCAAAGCTTACAAAAAACAATTTTTCCAGCTAAATAGTTTGTCTAATAAAAGGTATCACATTTACCCAAAGAGCCTTGTCTGCCTATGTCCTTAGACCAACATGGCTACAACCAACCCCCTCCCCTACCACCGAAATCTTTTTATCATTTACATTACCTAGGTAGAGGTCCTTCCACCAGGAGATGTGAAAAGAAAACATTGATATCGCTTCCCCACAAAATGAGCTCTTGTTTGCCAAACAGTTGATAATTTTCTTGTCTCCACCAGGTGGGGATCTTGAGCTTGCTGAATGAAATGAGTTAAGTCTTTTGGAGAATATTTTTTTTTCTTTCATTCCCCTTCACATTCTTTTGGTCATAGAAAACATTTTTTGTATTTTGGAAATAGAAAGCACTTCTATTTTTTTTACACTTTCTCTAGAGTGTTTTGTGGGGCATTTCCTAATGTTTCTTACCCATATGGTGTTATATTGTGTCAGTTTTGCCACAACCTAATACAGAGGACAGTAAAGAATTGTATTCTTTGAAGACATTGTGATTTTCTTTATATAATTGAGGAAAATAACACAAGACAACGAAATAACAAATAAGTGTCAGAGCTGAGAG